TATCTATGTTATTTTTGTGAGGTGAGATTCAAATAAACATTCTGTCTGTCTGTCTGTCTGTCTGTCTGTCTGTCTGTCTGCCTGCCTGCCTGCCTGCCTGCCTGCCTGCCTGCCTGCCTGCCCGCCCGCCCGTTCGTTCAAATAAAAACAAAACATTCACGGTATGTGTGCATGCATAGGCCTACGTATAAATGATAAAAGTAAAGGGATCTGGCAATTCTATATACCAATACAGACGTATACAAGACAGTAATTAATTGTTCAGAATATACTCATGCATAGTTGTTTTTAGAGCAAAACATGAAGTTTTTTCTTTTGGAAGGAATACTGGTGGAGCTCTGAGGAAATACATTCCATTTTTCCATCACAGCTGTAAATATGTGGATCTATGTATGAATGGGTAAATATGAATAAATGTTTGGATCATAAAATGAATGAATGAATGAATGAATGAATGAATGAATGAATGAATGAATGAATGAATGAATGAATGAATGTAAAAAAAGGTATGAACAGTGCACATAGCATCCCTATAATTACAAATGAAGATGGTCTATTATGAGGATAATGCGAGATTAAATAAGGATTTTGTCTTTCCACCACAATTTATTGTTAAGGCATTAAATTTGAATCCGTCTATAAAAGATTTATAATTTAGTCCAAACTGGTTTACTTTCATTCTCAGCGCGACATTTGAAACGTTAACAAGACATCTGGACCACTGGGTGGAAGATCTTCAGCCGAGTTGAAACATGTGACGTCAGAACTGGCGATGATGACGTCATACCCTTTGTACTTGAACTCTGTGGCCTTGGTCCTGGCGCAGCTGACAGTGACGCTTTATGCGGGTAAATTTCAGTTTGATTTCGGCCACAAAACTGCTCAATTTGAGGGGACGTTTGTTGCCCAATGCGTCCGTATGTGAGACTTGTTTTGATATTAAAGAAGTGCCATACGGTTACTCCTAATTTACAAGTATTAATACGGACAAGGAACGTTTCTTTAACAGGAGCCAAAGAATTATATAGAGTTTACGTTGATAACCTGTAACGTCACGTGACGTGACCTCCGCCATAATGGTCCGAAGCTATAGAGGCGAGACAACAGTCATGTGAATTAAACAAAATATCTTGTGGGTTCTCGGCAAGTTTCAAATTCAGAACATTGGTATGTAGGCCTCTTAATTTGCCTTAAACTGGTCCTAAGTAGAAAAGTATTTTTCCGAGTTTAGCCTATATTTGTTTTCCAAAATACACAAATAGTTGCAAACAAGCGGAACAAAGAATAGAGGGCAATCCGTGTATGAGTTATCATCACCCGAGGTACCCGAGGTACCCGAGATACCCCAGGAGTAAAACCTGCAAGGATTTCGTGACTCCATATTTACCGCCATATTCTTCAAGGAAATACTGGTGCAGGCCCCATGTGTTGAATAATTATTGTTTACATCGACAGTCTGGATTCAAGAGATATCTTTATTACAAAGGTTTGTGTGTATACAAGTTTAAACTGTGAGAGACACCACAACAACAAATAATTTTAATGATTTTACTTCTGAATCAAATTTAAATATGTTTTGCAGTCACACTATTATGGTCATTGGGTCATTTTCTTTGATTTTGAACACTTTCAATAACATAGCATGCTTTGGACACAGGGCTCCAGAAATGGGAAACGTACACCATTTCGTCAGGCGGGCGCAGACAGGTGTTGTAATTGGTGCACACGTCATAACAATTGTTTACAGAGAAGATAGAACTAACATGAATGTACCATATGTAAACACACAGTGAGTACTCCATGGAAACGCATTTGAATCAAACGATACCAGAAAATCAAATTGCAAGTAATGAACAGATTTTTTTCCCTAACCCCTTACATAAAATCTGGTTACTTTTAATTAGAATCTCGTTAAGACATGACCAATACTTTCAAGGTTCCCTAAAAGTAAGACTCTAAAAGGCGAACAACACCCTTGTTCCCTAGTGAGTGAGTGAGTGAGTGAGTGAGTGAGTGAGTGAGTGAGTGAGTGAGTGTTATATCTGGAAGATACACCGGAAGTGGATATCAGATACACCGGAACTGGATTTCAGGTACACCGGAAGCGGAATTCAGACACACCGGAAGAAGAATTCAGACACACCGGAAGAAGAATTCAGACACACTGGAAGTCGAATTCAGGTAACACCGGAAATGGAATTCAGGTAACACCGGATGTGGAATTCAGGTAACACCGGATGCAAAATTCAGACACCGGAAATCGAATTCAGCTACACCGGAAGTTGAATTCAGGTACACCGGATGCAAAATTCAGACACACCGGAAGCGGAATTCAGACACACCGGAAGTCGAATTCAGGTGCACCGGAAGTCGAATTCAGGTAACACCGGAAATGGAATTCAGGTAACACCGGAAATGGAATTCAGGTAACACTGGATGCAAAATTCAGACACATCGGAAATCAAATTCAGGTACACCGGATGCAAAATTCAGACACCGGAAATCGAATTCAGCTACACCGGAAGTTGAATTCAGACACATTGGAAGAAGAATTCAGACACACCGGAAGCGGAATTCAGACACACCGGAAGAAGAATTCAGACACACCGGAAGAAGAATTCAGACACACCGGAAGCGGAATTCAGACACACCGGAAGAAGAATTCAGACACACCGGAAGTCGAATTCAGGTGCACCGGAAGTCGAATTCAGGTAACACCGGAAATGGAATTCAGGTAACACCGGATGCAAAATTCAGACGCATCGGAAATCAAATTCAGGTACACCGGATGCAAAATTCAGACACCGGAAATCGAATTCAGCTACACCGGAAGTTGAATTCAGGTACACCGGAAGCAAAATTCAGACACACCGGAAGCGGAATTCAGACACACCGGAAGAAGAATTCAGACACACCGGAAGAAGAATTCAGACACACCGGAAGCGGAATTCAGACACACCGGAAGAAGAATTCAGACACACCGGAAGCGGAATTCAGACACACCGGAAGAAGAATTCAGACACACCGGAAGCGGAATTCAGACACACCGGCAGTCAAATTCAGGTGCACCGGAAGTCAAATTCAGGTAACACCGGAAATGGAATTCAGGTAACACCGGATGCAAAATTCAGACACATCGGAAATCGAATTCAGCTACACCGGATGCAAAATTCAGACACCGGAAATCGAATTCAGCTACACCGGAAGTTGAATTCAGGTACACCGGAAGCAAAATTCAGACACACCGGAAGCGGAATTCAGACACACCGGAAGAAGAATTCAGACACACCGGAAGAAGAATTCAGACACACCGGAAGCGGAATTCAGACACACCGGAAGAAGAATTCAGACACACCGGAAGCGGAATTCAGACACACCGGAAGAAGAATTCAGACACACCGGAAGCGGAATTCAGACACACCGGCAGTCAAATTCAGGTGCACCGGAAGTCAAATTCAGGTAACACCGGAAATGGAATTCAGGTAACACCGGATGCAAAATTCAGACACATCGGAAATCGAATTCAGCTACACCGGAAGTTGAATTCAGGTACATCGGATTCAAAATTCAGACACACCGGAAGCGGAATTCAGACACACCGGAAGAAGAATTCAGTAACACCGGAAGAAGAATTCAGACACACTGGAAGTCGAATTCAGATAACACCGGATGCAAAATTCAGACACACCGGAAGCGGAATTCAGACACACCGGAAGAAGAATTCAGACACACCGGAACGGAATTCAGACACACCGGAAGAAGAATTCAGACACACCGGAAGCGGAATTCAGACACACTGGAAGAAGAATTCAGACACACCGGAAGCGGAATTCAGACACACCGGAAGAAGAATTCAGACACACCGGAAGCGGAATTCAGACACACCGGAAAAAGAATTCAGACACACCGGAAGTCAAATTCAGGTGCACCGGAAGTCGAATTCAGGTAACACCGGAAATGGAATTCAGGTAACACCGGAAATGGAATTCAGGTAACACCGGATGCAAAATTCAGACACATCGGAAATCGAATTCAGCTACACCGGAAAGTTGAATTCAGGTACAGCGGATTCAAAATTCAGACACACCGGAAGCGGAATTCAGACACACCGGAAGAAGAATTCAGACACACCAGAAGAAGAATTCAGACACACTGGAAGTCGAATTCAGGTAACACCGGAAATGGAATTCAGGTAACACCGGATGCAAAATTCAGACACCGGAAATAGAATTCAGCTACACCGGAAGTTGAATTCAGGTACAGCGGATGCAAAATTCAGACACACCGGAAGCGGAATTCAGACACACTGGAAGAAGAATTCAGACACACCGGAAGCGGAATTCCGACTTACCGGGGGGGGGGGACATTTATGCCACTCTGACAAAATCGACTTACAATTCCAGTGTAGTTCAAGTAGTTAGCTGATACAAATACCTTGAATTGCTCATTACGCTCACACACAGATGGACAAAGGCTTTACAGTGCTTGCTGAACATGCCACCAAAGCCATTTTACCAATAGGTTCACTTCGCTTATGCAGACACTTGTTTTCTTAAGGCCCCTTTACACAGGGCTGCGACCTTTGTGCCACCTTTGAAGGACGCTCAATGGTCGCCTAAACCCAGAAAATCTATGTTAATGCTCCAGCAGTTTTTCAGCAGTTACTGCTCGAGTTGTTCAGTATCTGCAATCACAAAGAAACACTGCAGGTACAAGCCCTCTATTTATAGACAGGCTGGGGAGGCACTACAGGTAACTCAAAGGAGGCAGAAGGAAGGCAGAAGCATCGCCCAGATTAACGGAAAAGTATATGAGCAGAACGCATCTATTACCTGGCGACCATTGGGCGACCATTCTGTAACAAGCGCAATGCTTGTGCCCCCATTCTGCCTCCTTTGAACAACCAACCTTCTCGGCGACCTTTGTGCGACTTTTTTAAACCTGTTAAAAAATTCACGGCGACCATGGCGTCCATGGCGATGTCTGAACCTCCTGTTTACCACCTTGGAACGACCTAGGCAAACATTCTGCCTCCTTTGAGCCTCCAACGACGACCTGGCAGAGTTTATGGTCGCACACGGAAGGCTCAAAGGTCGCCATCCTGTGTAAAGGCCCCATTACATACTGTAGGAATATATAGCTTTAGGCAGAATGGTCTGTAGGATAGACATAGCTGTGGGCAGAATGAGCTGTAGGCAGAATGTAATGCTGGCACAAGACATATATCTCCAGAGTTTCTAATACATTAACATGCATGCTTGTCATTGCCAGTGACAACACACAGTGACGGGGTTCATAGTACATCTTGTGCTCAGAGCTCATTTGTTCTAACCTCGACAATCACAATGGAAGGTGATAGCAATATTCCAGCTATATGCCGACGGTCTGTAATAATCGAGTCTGAAGCAGACAATCCAGTCATTGACATCATGAGCATCGATCCACGCAATTTGGATACAATGACATGCATCAACCAAGTCAGCGAGCCTTCATCATTACCTTGCATGTTAGAAAACTTGGCAGTGACAAAGCTCACAGTCACTCAGCATCAAGTCAAATCTCAGCTCTCAGAAAATAGTGTTTATATTTCATGGAATATTTATGGGCAGCAAATTTAACAAAACTATTTTCGATTATTCTAACACAGTAACGTCATGACATACATAACGTTTTCACTTAGGTTTGAAGTTGTATTTGTTGACGCCCATCAGCTGGTGAAGGCAGAGCCTTACATGATCTTATTCCATGCTTGTAAAAGACGACTTAGGGACCGAATATTTGCCCATTACGGTTACGTAACATTAAGTATATTTTATAGCATAACGGTTTCTTTATTAAATGCAAAGTAGTATCCATATACACTGGTCGTTATCAAACAGCGCGAAACTGACTGACAGAATGAGCTGTAGGCAGAATGGGTGTAGGCAGAATGAGCAGTAGGCAGAATGAGCTAGGAAAGACTCATATAGCTGGAATACTGCTCTATGCGGCGTTAAACAAACAAACAAAACCAATCATTCTAATAAATCTTTCCAATATACACACATATGCATATTATTCTTTCTATTTGATTGATTTCAACGCATTTGTCCTGTCTAAGAAACTATTATTAATTGGCAACAAATGAGATGTTACGAAACGTGTTGAAACTTTCATATTTCTATTGCAGCTATAAAAATGAAACAAAACCAGTAACTGGGGCAGTCACTTTCAGCAACAGCAATTCAGATTATTTCCTCGCACACTGTAAATCAGGAAATCAATGGTCACCAACTTAGTGTCGACCCAACGCCTAAAATGTGTCTTGAAACTAATGTGCGTAGCCCTGCCTAGGAACTATTCACATTCTTATATTCATTTAAAATAGACTCCATGTTTGTGATTCTATTGCATGTCGGCACCCTCGGCACCACTGGTGGGGAGACGACTCCCGCATGTGTCATGAGTTTCATACCCAGCAGTCTATATACGTGAACTGGTTGGGCAGAGAGGGGAAAGAGACGACTCCCGCATGTGTCATGAGTTTCATACCCAGCAGTCTATATACGTGAACTGGTTGGGCAGAGTGGGGAAAGAGACGACTCCCGCATGTGTCATGAGTTTCATACCCAGCAGTCTATATACGTGAACTGGTTGGGCAGAGAGGGGAAAGAGACGACTCCCGCATGTGTCATGAGTTTCATACCCAGCAGTCTATATACGTGAACTGGTTGGGCAGAGAGGGGAAAGAGACGACTCCCGCATGTGTCATGAGTTTCATACCCAGCAGTCTATATACGTGAACTGGTTGGGCAGAGAGGGGAAAGAGACGACTCCCGCATGTGTCATGAGTTTCATACCCAGCAGTCTATATACGTGAACTGGTTGGGCAGAGAGGGGAAAGAGACGACTCCCGCATGTGTCATGAGTTTCATACCCAGCAGTCTATATACGTGAACTGGTTGGGCAGAGTGGGGATTTAAAATCGCCCTCCTCCATCCAACTGCATGAAATCGTGGCAGTTGTACGCTATAATACACTATATATAGGTGAGGTGAAATGGGGTTTAACGTCGCGTTCATATTTATTACACTAATATAGCCACATGCATGCTCATGTGTTTGTTTGTACTAGTCTATAATACCAGTTTTTTAGTGCCAGCGGCAGTTAACATGACTACATTCAATACTAAATCTGAGTTTGTTTCATCCCCGTAATGCTGCGAGTGCCAGTCAGGGTAACAACAATTGCCATCTAAAAATATTCGGAAGTATAACCAGTTCACATCGCAACCGTTTTGTTCTTCATGGTCTGAAAGTATTTCACAGAGGAGAGAAACATTCCAATAAGTATTAAAAGTTTGGATGAAAATAACGTCTCTTTCTAATTTGAGATTAGGTTATCACAACATGGATGATTAATTTAGAATTTAGCCAACACTGTTAGTCAGCCAGGTAAGACAGTCCATCTGGTGCATACAGACAATGTGAGTAGAGACTCAGCACATACATCAACATGCTGTTCGGTTGAATGTGAGACAAGTCTCACGGGGTGGGGAGGGGGGGGGGGGGGGGGGGGGGGGGTGACAGCAATTGAATATCTCACATGACATTTTGATAAAAGGTTAGACACAATGGAGGAGCGAACAATGTGTAAAATGCAGAATATTATAGACACAAAGGTATGTAAAGTGAGAAGTGAGATTAGAGATGAGATAGGCGATATGAACTCTGAACTCAAGCAAATGATTGATGCACAAGACCAAAAAACCCCGAAACAATGAAAAGGGATATAGACAATATACGCAGACAAAAGAGCTATGCTGCAGCTGCAAAAGAAGAAAATAGTGGGCCAAACATTGTGTTGAGAAATGTTCCAGAATCCAACAACGGGTGTGCTACCTCTAAAGTGAATGGCATAATTAAAGATGGACTAAAGTTTGGAGACATTACAATTGTCAATGCTGCTAGGAAAGACTCGAATAACCCCCGATATCCTGGAGTAGTAGTCGCCAAATGCAGATCCATCGATCTGGGTGAAAAAATGAAACTATAAGATAGCAGAAACTTTAGGGAGGTTTATATTCAAAATGATAAACCTCTACAGCAGAGAATATTTGAAAACAACAAGAAGTTGCTTGTTGAAACGTGGGTGATGGTCAGCTGAAACTGTCATGAAGCAGACTGCAGCGGGTACATCGAGGGAGGAAGGACTGGTCAAGTGGTTCCGGGGACAGCAGGTCACCAGTCAGGGTCCGGGACAGACAGAGACGACAGTCGCAGATCGACAGCCAACAGGTGAGAGAGACACGCGACACAACCAGAGCAATTCGCGTACACGTGGTCGTGTTTACAAACACGGGTCACGTGACTGGAGCCAGCCAAAGACCAGCGAACAGCAACACAGAAGCGAAAAGTCACAGCCGGCGAAACTACTTGGTTCCATGCGGGTTTTGGATAGCTGTGTTTTTTCAAAAGACATTAACTCTGATAATTATTTATTACGTTCACAGTTTTTATCCAAATCTAACCTAGACATTGCTGGTGTTGCAGAGGCGCATTTAACTGGTGATACTGTACTGAATGTTGATGGTTATATATGGTACGACACAACCGAAAAAATAGACATGTAAAAGCCAAATGCGGTTCAGGGGGCTTTGGTTTATTTCATCAAACGTGAACTTTATGATTGTTTTAGTGTTAGTATTTTAGATTCCTCGTACGAGGGTATATTGTGGCTGGAGTTGACAAGTAGATTAAACATGATATTGTTATTACAATTTGTGTATGTTATTTAACACCTGTATATTCATCAAGACATATAGATGCTGTTAAGATTTTTGATACACTTTTATTGCAGGTTATTAAATATCAATGGCCTGAGATGACATATATATGTGAGGGTTTTAAAAGTCGATGTGGAGGGTTGTTAGACTTTGTGGAAGGAGTTACGGTCATCTCCTAAATGCCTTTTTAATTAACATTAATTATTGTTTTGTGAATGGAAGACGAGGCTCAAGGGACGACTTTACTTGTATGTCACCTGGGGGTGCCTCTGTGGTAGACTACCGCATGAGAAACTGAACAAAATAAATGACTTTAATGTGTTGAGGCCAAGTGAAATAGGTAACATAGTGGCAGTCGGGTGCGGTAGATCAAGCTGTTCATAAAGTTGATCATTCGGTGTTAACCTGGACTCTTGATATTAATGAGATGGTGAAGAAACCTGAATATGGCAACTGTGTATCTGAGAGTAAAATAAGGTGCGACATGTCATCAGAAGATTGCAGCGAGACCCTTAACCACATCATAGATGGACTTGAGAATTCTAAGAAGCATTAAGGTGACATTGATGCTGCCTTTAATGACTTTAATATGCATGTTAAAGAGGACATGATAACAGCACTATCAGCTAAGTGTTTGTCTAATTCCCAAAAGGGCAATAATGATTTGCTATGTATTTTAGAAGCATTAGGTTTGGGAGTTTGTCTTGAAGATTCTGTTATTAATGTCCTGATGATGACCTATTGCTACTCGCTGAAAACGAAAACGACCTAAACATGTTACCAGACTGTCGAAATACCTGGTGCCATGCCAACAAGATGGCCCTTAACAAGGACAAACAACTCAAAGATAATCCACTTCAGACCTCCATCCATGAAAAAGACTGACGTTGCGTTTAAGTATGGTGAAGAGACTTTAGAAACTGTCGACTCGTATTGTTACTTGGGGATTCTACTAACGGAACACCTGGACTATAAGCGTGTGGCGAGAGCAGCCGTCAGCTCTGCTAGTAGAGCACTGGGTCTACTCATCTCTAAGTACAAGATGCTGGGCGGGATGGAAGTTCGCACATTTTTCAACCGTCTGCAACAAAATGGTGTGGTCAACTCTAGAATACGGTGCATGTATATGGGGTACATACAACATGTCATGCATCAACGCAGTACAGAATAGAGTTAATGCGATTTTATCTTGGTCTTAGGAAATATGCCCCAAACCCTGCTGTAAACGGTGATATGGCCTGGATTCCACCTATTGTACGTCAGTGGTGCAGTACGGCAAGACTTTATAAAAGACTCTCTTATATAAACCCGGACAGAATAACAGGCACGATTTATA